AAGAACATTAGAGGAAGTTGTGCAACTCCAGTGGCAATCAAACTTATTTGCAGCCGTCACTTACCATGTGACGAAGTAAAAGTCGGTGACATTGACCTCACTTACAATGGAATAAAAGGTCCTATTACATCTCAATGCACGAATGTGAGACCTATCATTTCAGGAAAACAAAACCCTAAAATCTGTTCATCTCCTTATGTTGTCCCATGAATTGTTGATTGCCATAGTACTTTAAACTAATCGATAACCTTAATTAAAAGAAGACAGCTCTTTCCATTTTAATTTTTCTGTCTTTTGAGTTTCTTTTGTTTACTTTTCGAAATATATATGATGGTCAAATGTTTGAAGGAAGTCTTGTGTCCTGAACAATGTAACGTTTTTCGTACATGGACGTTATAAAATAAAATGGTTTTGCTCTTGTTTTTTTGGTTTTAGATTTGAATTCTAAATCTGTTACTTCAAACTTCAAAAAAAAAAAAAAAAAAAAAAAAAAAAAAAAAAAAAAAAAACAAAAACAAAAAACAAAACAAAGCTCATATAGGAACACGTTTACCATGGTTCTTCTCTTCCTCAAAAGACTGAACAGACCTCTAATGATGTATACGATCACCTTCGTGATAATATCGATCAGAATGCTCTACTTGTCGATAATTTCAGGCTCAGGTTGGTCAGGGATAGAATCTGGATTTGTAACGTCATCTGTTTGGTTCTCTGCTGTGTCCGGGTTCGACTTTGTCGCATTGACCACTGTTTGCTGCTTCTCCATCATCCCAGAGAGAGCAAGTCTTGGAGACCATTCGAGAACATCATCAATGATATTCGAAACACGCTTTTGGTATCTGCAAGAGAGAATGCACTTCATGACGAAAGCAGAAAAGTAGTATTTGTTCACATGCTTATGTCTTTTTGTAACGCCCCAAGTCCACCGCTAGCAAATATTGTTTTAGTTCATATGCTTATGTCTTTTTGTAACGCACCAAGTCCACCGCTAGCAAATATTGTCCTCTTTAGGCCTTCCCTTTCAGGCTTTCCCTCAAGATATTTAAGACGCGTTTTAAAAACCTTGAGGGGAAGTTCGAAAAAAAAAAGACAATATCTACTGACGTTACACTTTTAGAATAGGAAATGAAAGGAAGCAGATGCCCGTAACAAACAAAAGTTTTAAGTCGATTAACAGTAGGTTATCAAATCGTATTCTCTTAAGCTACACCAAAGAGCAACTGATCCACATTCTAAACTACTCTATAGTTTCGGTCGCTTTGAAAAAGATTGTCGTAAATTGTCATCTATAGACTTCTTCAGTACCATATCTTAAGTTGTATGGAAGTTTAGAAAGGTACGGAACTAACCTTGCTCGAGCAGCCTCATCGGGAGCATGATGCCTCATCAACAGTATGATCAGTACAGCCACCATTGCATAGAAAAGTCTGGTTGTCCATTTCGGTTTCTCTTCTTCGTCTTTACTCGGCCAAAAACGGAATAGTTCTCGCAAGGTCGCCTCCTCGGCAAGAATATTGGGAAAAAACCACATGCGCTTGCCAAGAAGAATATAGGATAAACCAAATACTGCTGCCCTCACTGCAAATTTAAATGAAAACATAAAACGTTGTGGGCCTGGAAGAAAGAACCCTACCAGAAATGCTTTAATGGAAGACCAAAAAATGGTGATATTTAATTCATCAATACCACAATTACTATCAAATACGAAAGTTTCTAAGCCATACTTGATAAAAACCACACTCTGATAGTAAAGGCTAAAGAAGTTCCAATACTTGAGCAATTCAAGGCATCAAATTGCTAAGGCTCAAGCCCCTTGGGAACCTCTAAAACAATTGAGAACACGTTTAGTATGCTAGCAAAGTGAATTTCACTCTTCTACATGCAAAGAAGAATCACAATAAATCAACAAATCAACCAAGCTACCACAAACAACAATGAAGAATTTGAAAGAGAAATTGCAATCATTTCCCGACCTTTTCACATAATCTATCCAACAATATAACTTTTTGATGCTAACATGGCCGAGATGCGCGTAAACTGACCAAATCACTCACAATATTAAAAGGAGAGTACATCAAACATGGACAATAAGCATGAAACGTTTAAGAACTTGGTGATATCATCCTACCATAATACTTCATGCAGCAGTCCCCAGATTAACGAAGTCATATAAATGATATATTGATATATAAATGAAGAACAACACAAAGATAAGCCAGTGAAAGGGATTGTATGACCTACATAAAAGAAGTGAGAGTATAAGAAGCAGAACCCCAGCGCATGAGTAGAGAATCAAAAGCTTGCATTGATGAGGATATACAGGAAACAAGCAAATTGCAAGAGTCAACACAGGCCAACAAAACGACAGAAGTGTCTGCCAAAATGGCCTCCGCTTAACAAATGTCCACGCAAAAAATGCATCATGTTCGGAGAACACCTGATCCTGCAAGAGTAAGTTGCACGTTCAAAACCGAAAAATGGTGAAAGAACATGACATTAAACTAACTTATGGAACAGGATGGTAAATAAGTTCCTTGCTCAAATGCTTAAAATTTGCATCAAGATGGCTGAACTTAGACACTTACCTATGTCAGCAAGTAAATCCTCTATTTTAATAGAAAAGAGAATGGCTAGATCAAATCTTTTCCATCTGCTAGTTTGTGGGTTTCGATTTTTGAAAGTAAGGAATATTTAAGGAAGTTTGATGCCCTTTCTTTGGGCTATGGATTCTAATATTTGTTTTTTTTTTTAAAGCTTCTATGTCCTTCTCGACTTCGTCGAGCAACCCCAGTTCATCCTTCTGTATAATCGTATGGGTTCACAGTTCAATACAACTGTTTCTTAAAAACACACTCTTATTAATATGGAGTACATTGATTTAAAAATTAAGTATAACCTTAAAGAGAATTCTAAAACTATATATTTACAGTTAGAAGAAACATCAAATTTATATGATCAAGTAGAGAGGATGAGGCCTCCAACTTTAAAATAAATACATAATGAATAAAAAATTCACACCGGGAATATCTCCAGATGCGCTGGCCATGTGGACAATTTTCTCTTTCCAGGACGAACAGTTTTCACCACACGATCACACCGAACTAAGAGATTCTTACTAAGCAATGCATTGCCAATATCTTCAGTTTCCAAATTCTTATCTGAATCGAGAATATCCTTGACCTCTGGATGATTTCTCAAAAAACCAACAAAATCTTTGCCTCTGAAATACTCGACACGTGTCTCTTGTAAAACAGCCCATCTTGACTCTAAATCCTTGTGGTCTCTCACTTTCTCAGCAAACAACTGAAACAAATCCTTCCTTGCAGCTTGTTTCTGAAGGTTAAGAACATATATTGTGTGATCACCACAACAGCCAAAATGAAATAAACAAATGTAGAATCCTGATTTTAAGAAAATGGTGAGGATACAAACACGAAGCAATCTATTACAGCATATGCACAACAGTCACTGAATTCATAAATTATAATTGAAAAGTTCCTTCACAAATTGGAAAAATGACCAAAAACCAGCACACAAAGACATGAACTCAGCATAATATTGAAAGCAGTTGAAATATAATTGATAGCCAAAAGGCAGCTGAATCCAATACTTCTCGTCTAACTCATATGAACTCAAGCAATCAATCCCCTTCTCACCCTTCCTCATAACAATCATGCTGTCATTTTCTATTTTCTATACTATGCACGAAACTAAGGTCAAAAAAATTGAGAAAAATCAGTCATTCACACCCACTGATGAAGGATTCCTCGATACAAAACTACTCTTAAATTGCAACTGATTCAGACTGATGGAACCTCACAAGCTATACTTTTCTAAATTCAACCCATATAATAACAATTAACAACGCCCATGCAGGTGAATGCAGATCTGATCCATTGAGGCCTGGAAGCTCCTAGTTGCTCTTCTTCCTAAACTACAAAGCTGCAAAACTGAGCACTACAAAAACCCTTTATCAATGCATGCATGCACATTAATCAATCCTCTTCTCTTTCTTTGATAAGAAACCAAAACAATGAATGCTCACTTAATCATTCATCCAACCACACGCCACCCATTTCTCATCGAGGAACTTCAAATCAAGAATTGCAAATTTATGCGAACTTCACGCCGATCAACCATTACTCGGAAAATCAGTATATATACATATATAAGAACCCAAAAGAAAAACTCATATAACATGTTCAAAACACATCAATGACATGCATTCTGGGCGGGCAAGAATGTGCCATTTGGTCTTGAAACAATCAAACAAAGAATCATACTGAAACCATCGTACCCTCTTGAAGGCAACAAAACCCCAGATCAGAAAACAAAATCAAATCTAGAGGGAAAAAGAAGGCAAACCCTAGGAGGGGTATCAGAATTGGGATCTATAGCAGCATTTTGAACAGCAGTTGATTGCCTTCTGACCCTCTTCTTCTCGGTTCCTCCGGTTTTCCTCATCTCACAGCCCGATTTGATTCAAAAACAAAAGAAAACGAATCTTTTGATGTTTCCCGTTGCCTTCTTCGCCGCTGTGAGTGCGATTGATCGCGAAGAAAATTTGTAGAACGTTCGTGAAGTTAATAAGAAAGAAAGGGAAAAAAAAAAAAAAAAAAGATCAGGAAACGATTTCTTCACTTTCACCCTATTTTCTCAGAGCATTGCCATCTCTTCATCCCAACCAATCAAATTCTGCCATTTCAGCATCTTGACCTACCTGCATTTGCTTTTTATATTTCATAACCTTCGGGATTTACTATACATTTTTTTAACATTTTATTAAAATTTATTGTATGTTATTAATATTGTTTTAATTTGTGAGAGACGATACGCCATGCTATTAAATATCGTGAAGAGATGACATGACATGACATGCTGCCTGCAACGATTCATGTTCAGGATTTGACATCTGATGGCCCCGACATTTTCTCGGGTGACATGTCCATTACCCCTTTTTCCTTTTACTGAGAAAGGTCGTCACGGGTAGTAGGGGGCAACCTCAATGAGAAAGGTTGCTTCCATTTTGGTTTCCACGAGTAGGAAGGGCATTCAAGCAAGCCCTCCAATTTCCCCTTATATTATAGACTATACTAGTGTTGGTATGTATCACAATCATACTATGAACAGGGTAGGTTGTGACCTTCACTTGTAGACATGACAAGGTGACGACATGAAAGTGGCGTCCAATTGGCTGTGCAAGGTTTGAGACAAGATGAGTGTCGTGATGCGATCGAGGAAGACAATACATCATCCAACACACCAAATGAAGTAGGCATTAAGGCGAAGCTGAGGCATATGCAAGATAGAGGCAACGATGTTGACATGAGTGTCAAATATAGACTTGATAAGGGCTAGGTAGGGTCTCGAGCCTTAACCTTAAAAGTTGGAGTTCTTAAAGGAATTTGGGCATGCGGCTCTGGAGTTAAGTCGATTCATGAAATATGAATGCTTGCAAAATTTGATGTCGATCAGACACCAGACGAACGCTTCAAGAGACCGTATGATCATTCTCCAATATCATGTCTACCTCTATTAGACAAAAAAATGTCTCATAATGTATCTTAGAGGGAGACATGGTATTATCTCTCTATCACTCCTAGACCCTATAGCCTAAGCGAGCTATCCTGTAACACATACATGTGTCGCAGTGAGGGCATGTATTAGACAACTTGTGGCAACATTGTGCCCTTGCCCAAGAATTGGAGGTTGGTATATGCACCTGCTATCCAGTACATAATTCGTAAATGATTTAGCATGGACACAAGAGGGTCCAATGTCTCGATAGAATCCAAATGGATGAATATTCGAGACACCTTGATATATGAACGACACATGGGTCCATTCTCGATGAACATGTCTAGGTAACCTAATTGCCACTGACATCTCAGGACTTGGGATGATATCATGACATGAAGGTCATGCTACTGGGAACCAAGATGAGAACATGAGACAAGACATTGCATGTGAAAGACCTTAAAACTAGAGGCAAGGCCATGTCAGATGACTTGGCTTAGTGTAAAAGCAAGTCAGCAAGGGTCACATACAATTGAACATACACACACGCACGACGTGTGTGGTCGTACAAGCTTAGATTTCACATGAATTGTGTTCGTTTAACGAAAGTAAACCTCGCTTAAGATCTGACGAAGCCACAAAGCTGAACGAAAATGAATATGGAGCTTGAGTTTGTTTTCCTGAGTCCTACCTTTTATAGATATTTGTTCGGAATCGTATTATTTAATCTTATTTTAGAAGTCCGGTGGTTAAAAAAAGAACTAAAAAATATTTATGCACCAAAAAGGATAAATTTAATGCATATTATTAAAGAAAAAACAAAAAGGAAAAATTGAAGGACAAAAAAGTCCAAAAAGTAGTTTGCAAAATGTGACCAAAGCAAGAGGATTTTGTCCGCATTTTGGTTTGCATAAAGGTTGGAACTTTGGGTTTGAAAAGTCCACAAAACTCCACCAAGTGCACACTTGTTGAACAATTGTTAGCTATTTAGCCCCACATTTATTTGGAGATCCTAAGTTCTTGGATGTCACCTTTTAACGTGATAATATTAGTGAAAGAGTCGGAATAAAGGTGAATTGTGAGATCCCACGTCGATTGGAGAGAGGAACGAAACATTTCTTATAAGAGTATGAAAACCTATCTCTAGTAGACGCGTTATAAAATCGTGAGGCTGACGACAATACGTAATGGGCCAAAATCGACAATATCTATTAGTGGCGGGCTTGGACTGTTACAAACGGTATCAGAGCTAGACATTAGGCAATGTGTCAATGAGGACGTTGGCCCCCCAAGGGAGGTGAATTGTGAGATCTCACGTCGGTTAGAAAGAGAGAATGGACGTTGGGATGCTGGCCCCCCAAGGAAGGTGAATTGTGAGATCCCATGTCGATTGGAGAGGGAGAATGGACAATAGGCCCCAAGGGAGGTGGATTGTGAGTCTCACGTCGGTTGGAGAGAGAGAGAGCAAACGTTGGGCCTCCAAGGGAGGTAGATTGTGAGTCCCACATCGCTTGTAGTGAGGAACAAAACATTTCTTATAAGGATGTGTAAACCTCTCCCTAGTAAATACCTTGGGGGTGGATTGTGAGATCCCACGGAGAAGGAAACGAAACATTCCTTATAAAGGCATAAAACCTTCTCCTTAGTAGATACTTCATGACGTTAATACATAACAGTCCAACAAACAAAGAAATTTTCAACCTTCCTATACATGTTGGAAGTCTTCCAAATAGTCAAAGATCCATACAAGTGTAGTATCTATCAATGGAACCAACCAAGAACTACTCGGTTCTAATGCCAAACCTACTCCATTGAACTCGCTAACATGCTTGCCTTATCTTGGTGGGTAAAGGGGTTAGGACTTTGAAAAGGACAAAGGTGTAGGTAACCCCAAGGGTCTTGAAATGCCATCAAAGACCAGATTTCATTAATCATTCAATCAAGATTATTCAAAACTCTCCATGCCTCATTAGCTAAGAGACTTTGATTAAAACCTTCAAGTCCATCCTCACCAAGATCAAGCAAACAAAAACAAAAAGAAAAAGAAGGGAGGGAAAAGAATTGACCCATTGATTAGTAAAGGAATAAAAAGAAAAGGGTTTATCTCTTCATTGAATCGAGGAGAGAGAATCAGAGAGAGAGAGAGAGAGAGAGAGAGAGAGAGAGAGGAGAAGGGGGTCTGGAAAATGAGCTTTGACCTCTCTCTCTCAGAGAACCCATGGTACATTCACACTTTTGAATAACTTTTTTCCCCTTCTTTATCCTTTCCCTTCAATACTCTCTCAATCTCATCTTCCCTTCAGTTCTTCAACAGATTCAGACAAAACCCATTTCGATTTCTGGGTGTTTTCAAAGAAATTTGATCTGGATTTCAGGTAAGGTTTCTGGGATTTCTCTGTTCTTTGTACTTCAAACAAATGTTTAGACCATTCCTAGTTATTTGGAGGTTTTGCCTGCTTTTTCTTGCTTGTTTTCCATCATTCCCTTTTGTTTGGACCTTTACAAGAATATCCCTTCTCGCTTTTGGATAACTCTAGAAGATATTTGCGTTTTTTGTTCCTAACATATTGCTTTCAAATACCCTCTTAATATCTTCGCTAAAATCTCGTTTCCCCTTTTGCTCTGTCTTAATCGTTCCCCTGTTTTCGTAACATCGAGATCTGTTTTCCCTTTTCCCCCCCTTTATTCGGTGTTACTAGAAAGCTCGAGGATCTGCTTTGATTCATGGGGAATTGCTGCGCTACGCCGGCTACTCCATCAGGGCAGCAGAACAAGGGGAAGAACAAGAAGTCGAACCCATTTGCAGCGGATTATGTAGTGAGCAATGGCAATGGTGGTGGGAACTGGGTGTTGAAAGATCCAACGGGTCGAGACATTTCTGCTTTATACGATCTGGGTAGCGAGCTTGGGAGAGGTGAATTTGGGATAACATATTTGTGTACTGATATAACCACTGGAGAGAAACTTGCTTGCAAATCGATATCAAAGAAGAAGCTGAAGTCTGCTGTGGATATTGAGGATGTGAGGAGAGAAGTTGAGATTATGAAGAATTTGCCTAAGCATCCGAATATTGTGTCATTGAGAGATACCTATGAGGATGAGTATGCTGTTCATATTGTTATGGAGCTTTGTGAAGGTGGGGAGCTGTTTGATAGGATTGTTGCGAGAGGTCATTACACGGAAAGAGCAGCTGCAGCTGTCATGCGGACCATTGTTGAAGTTGTGCAGGTGAAACATGCTTGTTTATGTGGTTGTTCGTGTTGTTCTTTGTTTTGAATAAGGTTCAATGGTTCCTGATAACAAATGCTTTTGATTGTTTGATTATTAATTTAGTCGTTGAACTTCGGTAGATCTGTTTATTAGTTATCTGAACTTTAGGAAGCTCTCATTTATGTCGTAAACTTCGGATTCTGATTTTTGATAGCTGTTTACAAAATGATAACATTGGGATGTTTATTGGGGAAATATTTGTTGATTTGGCGTTATGTGTTGAATAGATGGGAGAAGAAAGTGGACAAGAGGACGGGTTTGGTACGTGTAGGATACCCTCTCCCGGAGGCAACATATCCAATTCCTTAGAAAGACTGTGTCACCTCGTTAATCGAGTTGTTCACTTTCTTATGTTATTGTCAAATTGTCCAATATTTGTCTAATAAGCATGCTACAAAACGGTTTAGTTACGCATCAATGAAAATTTAGGTATATGTATGAGATCCCATATCAGTTGGAGAGGGGAACGAAGCATTCTTTATAAGGGTGTGGAAACCTCTCCCTAGCATACGTGTTTTAAAACCTTGAGGGGAAGCCCAGATGGGAAAGTTCAAAGAGGACAATATCTGCTAGCGGTGGGCTTGGGTTGTTACAAATGGTATCAAAGCCAGACATTGGGCGGTGTACCAGCGAGGATGTTGAGCCCCGAAGGGGGGTGGGCACAGGGCGGTGTGTGCTAGTGAGGATGCTGAGCCTTGAAGGAGGTGGATTGTGAGATTTCACATCGATTGGAGAGGGCAACGGATGTCAGCGAGGACGTTGGGCCACGAAGGGGGTGGATTGTGAAATCTCATATCAGTTGGAGAGGGGAACGAAACATTTCAGATGCGTTTTAAAACCTTGAGGGGAAGCTAGGAA